TTTGATGAACATTATCACGTAAATCTCATAAATTGCAAGATGTAAAGTCACTTATCGTATGAAATGAGATAAAAATTAGAACCGCCAGTTTACTCTCAGGTTGGACAGAGTGGCTAATTGATAATAGCTATAGTTGGTTAGAAGCTTCTTGAAGTGTGTGTGTGTGTGTATAAGCAGTTATACGTGTAAAAATATTATGGTTATATCTTGATGATGAGGTACCAGATTTCATAAGCTTAATTCGGAAATATAAAATTACTATTTTAATCTCCAACATTTTAAGAAAATTCGAAATAGTAACTAGGTCATCATTTAACGAAATAAAGAACGCATGGCAAGTTCAATATAAATAACAGAATCGAAATACAATAAATGCATTACATTTTAACTCCTTTTTTTTTATTGTTAAGATAATTTAAGTCTATAATGTGCCATTTAACAGATAAATGTAAACTAAATCTTAAACGATCTAAACATGCTTCTAACAAACTCAATAGCATTTAGATCAATATTGCGGAATAGAATCGAATTGAAAGCATACCTCCGGCCATTGATAACTTCTTACGCTCGACAGATATTTAACTCGGATTTGGTGCTTCTAATCCTCACTCAATCTCAAATAGATGGTGTATTTTACTGAATAAGATTGAAAGGCCTAGGGACCAACCGGAAGGAAATGCACTCGTATATATATATATATGTATACTCTGTCCATCACAGAATATTCTTAATCGTGCACAACACGTGGGCAGCGGTTATGGACGGTTTTCGAACGTTATTCGCGTCCCTACAAAGTGGAAGATATGGGCCACTATAACGGTAAGTTAGTTTCCTAATATTAAGGGAAAAAATCTTACATTCTCCCACTTGGTCCATATATTCCATCATTTATCTCAATAAGAAACAAAATACATGAATCATGGCGATATATCCTCTTAAAATGAGTATTATCTTCCATGTATCACAATGCATCATGTCTCTTAAACACTAGCCCATGCAACTTAATGAATAAACCCTATGTTTATTCCAGGTCCAAACAATAATGTTATTTCTCAAAATAAATGTGTACACTAGAAAAAACAAATATGAGAAAACATCACAATTAGAGTTTCATTGAAAATAACATTCGTTCTTACAACGAAAATCACATAAAGGAACCAAGTCTCATTCTATCTACATGATCCTTAAATTTCAATGGTGGCAT